GGTTATCGAAAAGCAAGTTTACAGAAGCAAAAGCGTGGTTATTGGAATGAGGAGGGGGGGCATGAATGGTTTCCTCTCTCAGCATGGATGTCTGGCAACAGTCAACCTGTTCCTATCTTATCGATATCCTGTCTTGCAGTCTTCCTATCTCATAGACATCCTGCTCGCTCAAGCACATGGGATGTTCTTACAAGAGCAGGCTGGCTGCTGATCCGGAGAATTTTTTTTTTTTTTTAGCAAACAGGACGTTGCCCCAGGAACATGCTAGCTACGGGTTTTGAGGAGGGGGTCTGTAGGGTCTTTCAATCTCCTGTGACACAAGGGTACCAGACAGAATACAGATGCTTGGGGAAGTACCATCTGCGTTTACAGCATCATCATGCTTCAAATGTGCTTTGACAACAACAAAAGCTGCAATCACAAAGGTCACTTGCTCTGAATGTCTAGAGTTCCTCTGTGAGGGATGAGCAAGAGGGAATCATGTGACCCATTTTGTAGGGCCCTGGTCTGCCCCTGTTTTTGGGATGCATTTGCAGGGACAGTTTATGGTTAGCTAACTAAGCTTCCTGTTTGTTTCTGTGCTCTCCCTGCCCCCCCCCCCCCCCCCCCGTGATTAGCTGCAGGGCATTGTCTCCATTGTTAATATGGTAATTTCCCATCTGCCTGGGCGGAGATCCTTGTGCAGCAGTTAGGTTGATAATGACCCTGGTCTCTGCGTGTGTTCTTTCAATCTCCAGGCCCTTGCTCTACTGGCATTCTGTACAGAGGCATGCTAACTGTACCAAGGGTGTAACACAAAATCGGGTGTTATTGTCCTTGGCTTCTCATCAGCCCTCATAGTTCGCCATGTTCAGAGAGTCCGGTTTTATCCCATGCTTTTTCAGTCACAGTCCAGCTGGCCTTGGTGGGCTCCCAATAAATCAGCCCCACTGTCTCAGTGGGTGGGTGCACCCCTCATGGTCCTGACTTCCTTGCACGGGGTTTTGATCCTACTTCATGTTCTGGCTTTGTGGGAGCCTAGCCAGTTTGGATGTTCACCTTTCTAGACATGGACGGAGTGGGGAGGACCTTGGACTTTGCACAGGGCAGGGAACCCTGACTGCTCTTTGGACTGGAGAGGGAGGGGGAGAGGAGTGGGGGGAGGGGGAGAAGGGTGGGAGGAGGGGGAGGGAAATGGGAGGAGGGGGAAACTTTTTTTTTCCTTTTCTCAATAAAAAAAAAATGAAAAAAAAAATCGGGTGTTACATCATTTCATCTGGAGACACTTAGAGTGGAGCTGTGCGCTTCACCTGGAAGAAAAAGGAAATCCACACAGAGAGGGGAATAAAAGTTTGTGTAAAGAGGCCTTATGACTTCCTCTCCAGTTTACTAGCATTATTAAATCATGAGTCTTTGTTCCAATCTCATTTTTATATAACTATCATATATATTATATAACTCATTTTATATAACTATTGTTTATTCATAGAACTGAAACATGGATCTTCAGTACTTTTATTTATTTGTTTATCTATCTATCAATCTATCAATCTATCTATCATCTATCTATCTAATTATCTATCTATCTATCTATTTATCTATCTTTTGTTGTTGTTGTTGTTTGAGACAGGGTTTCTCTGTAGCTTTGGAGCCTGTCCTAGAACTCACTCTGTAGACCAGGCTGGCCTTGAATTCACAGAGATCCACCTGTCTCTGCCTCCTACATGCTGGAAAGAAAGGTGTGTACCACCACTCCTTGGCTCAGAGGCTTTTATTTTTGAAGGATTTTATCACATAAATTTTGCTTATCTGCATCTATCAGGCAGATACCTTACTTTTGCACAGCTGGTGCCATGTACCTGACAGAACACCTTTACTGGAAGGAAAAGATCAATTTTGAGTCACATGTTCAGAGCCTGCAGGCCACGGTTCTAGATTCCCTGACTTTAGATCTACAATGAGACAGAGTATCATGGCAGTGGGAGTATGCAGAGAGGGAGGCATTCCTATTCAGTTTATGGTGAAATGAATACAAAGAAAAGGAGAGAAAGGACACAGTCCTTCAACTAGGTCAAACTTCTTAAAGCTTCTACTACATCTCAAAAGAGCACCACTATCTGGGACTGTAAGCAGTTGCAGTGAGAAAACACTGAACACAGGCATTCTCCATGGAGGGAAAGAGTAGTTTTATATAAAGCTGTGTGCCTCAAGAGCAGAGGACAGCCACAGCTGTAAAAGCTGGTTAGGCTTTCCAGGGATGTGTGGAGGTCGGGAGCTCAGAAGCGGAAGCAGTCAGATGGTAAGCATGTTTAGGGGTATGTGTAAGTGAGGAGCTTGGAAGTGGGAGCAGTCAGGTGGTAATAATGTAGACTCTCCAGAGGAGGCGCTGGAACCTGTGGTCAGGAGTTGCTAAGCATTAAGGGCTTCTGAGAAATGCTTAGAGCCAGGGTCCTCGGCAGGAGTAGCCAGCCAGTGCTCTTAACCAGCTCTACCACAGTGTACTTTAACACAAGGACCAAGGAAATGTAAACTGAAGCAGTGAAATAAATATTTATGGAGCAGAGAGGAAAAAGAACAATCAATTAAGCTTGAAATAAGGGAAGAATATACTTAAGATCTATGATAAAAATTATAAACTTTTATGTCATAATTCAACACCAAATGTCAAAATCTTATAAATGTTCACATTCTTGTTAGTAGAAACTCCCATTACAGTAATTTATTCAAGTTACAACTGAGCAAGGCCAGTTGTGGATGGGGCGTTGATAGAGGCTGGAGGATGAGGGTTGTGAGGCCATCGTGGGTGAAACAACTGGACTCATCTGGTAACTAAAACAAAATACAAGGAAAAAGGAGAAGGCGATAACAGCCAAGTGATATAGACTAGTGTACCAGCAAACAGAGCAGAGGTTCAGAGAGGAAAAAACATCTCTTCCTGGGTGGTAAAAATTGGTGGTAGTTTTCACTTGAATTATTGGACAGTCAGGAAGTAAATCAAGGAAGACACTGTAGATCCATCTGTTAGAGAAAAACAACAACAGGGCTGTAAATCGGAGGCTGTTTGTTCGTTCCTGGCTGTCCAGGCCTGAATAATAATAAAGAAACAATATCAATTTCAAAGCTGTTTGGCTAATAGCTTAGGCATATTTTTTTAACTAACTCTTACATCTTGAATTAACCCATTCTTATTATTTTATATTCCAACACGAGGCTCATGTATTACTGTTATGGTCTGGGGCATCTGTCTCCCTCAGTGCCTTCATGGCCTCTCCCTGACTCTGCCTTCTTTCCTTCTCTGCTTGGAATTCCTGCCGTACTCTATTCTGTTCTGTGGTAGGCCAAAGCAGATTTATTCATTAACAATAAAAGCAGCATGTATTTTCCTACACCACCAGATAAGACAAAATATCCCTTATTAAGAAAGACTTAGGAAAACAAGAGGGGGCAATTAATGGCACAATACCTCTTCTAAATTACCAGTCTTGAAGAACTAAAATACAAGGAGAAATTCCACTATATCATGCTTCTCTTTTGGTAATAAAGGGGAAAATCCTTGTACAAAGAGTAGCTTTAAATTTATGAAAAAATGTGAACTGGAAAAAAGTTCCCACAAAACAAATAAGTAAAAAAAAAAATCTGTATTAAAGATTCTAGGTTGTGTAAAAATAAAAATCAAATAAAAAGAGGTTATCAGTGTGAAAGAGAGTTGGTATGTGGGGTGTAGCAGGGAGTGTTGGAGAGAGGAAAATTATTATTTGACTGGTCAATTCTGCCATGTGTCATCAAGGCCACTGGCATATGATGAAGTAGATTCATCTTGAAAAAGAGGCAGAATTGTTTCAGTTTTGTCTCTATCTATATGATTTGGGTTTAAATGTACAATTTCACTTTTGAAGTGAACCTACCAAAACTTACCAACTGTCAACTGACTGACACACAGAGGTAGAAGGGAAAACCCCGTGTTAGGATGAAGTGTTTAATTTTAATGGTGCATGTTAATTAATTGAGCCAAAGGTTGCTTTTGATTGCTGGACTTTGGTGGTCAGCCTCTGGAATGAATCTGGCATAAAAAAGTGTCCAAATAAGGGACTAGACCGTGATGGATAACTTTATGGATGTAATCTGTGGTTTACAAGGGAGAGGAAAGGAGGAAGGGCAAGGCCTAGCGGTTGACACTTATTTGCTTATTATTATTATTATTATTATTTTGAGGAGAAATGTTAGAAATCTAGAAACTTAGGCTATTAGATAACATTTTGAGAAAAATGACCAGATATTGAAAATTAATTAGTAGCATTTTAATTTTTTAAACAAATCGTCTTTGTTTATCTGATCGGAACAATTTGATACATTTTAAGCAATTTACAGACAACAGGAAGATATACCATAACTGGATTAGATGAATTTTATAGTATACATCTGCACATTATTTTAAATATTCATATTGGAACTAGGTTTGGTGGTACATGCCTTTAATCCCAGCACTATGGAAACAGAGGCAGGTGGATCTCTGAGGTCGAGTCCAGTCTAATCCATAAAGAAGAATAGCAAGATCCAGAACAGCCAGGACAGCTACACAGAGAAACCTTGTCTTGAAAATCAAACAAAAACAAAACACAAATATCAATAATTTCCCATTCAATTATTCAGTATTTTCTATGAACTACGTTAACACATATTTATGAGGGGGAAGTAGCCTAATGCCACTGATAATGTAATTTGTAATTACGATGTAGATTGGAAAAGTTTTAGAAGAATTTTTTTATTAACAAATAGTATCATTCAATATTCAACAAGTCTCACCCTATGTTTAGGTTCTAATATAATGTCCTGATGATGGGAAGGTGACAACACTATATTATCTTTAATGCTAATTGTTAAGGTGCCCATTTCCTCTCTACAAACACTTTGCTTGTAAAAAAAAGACAGCATGCTTATAAAGTATGAGTAAAGAAAATATCCTGAGTTCCTCCTTCCTTCTATAAAAGCCTGGGCATGCTCTTAGCTCCCAGCTTGGCACCATGGCTGTCCTGGCTTCTTTTGTCTGGGTACTGGTTGGCTGCATTTCTGCTGCTGTAGCAGAGGATTCTAATATCTCAGATCTATATCCTCCTTTCTGGGAAGAGAGCCCTGAAGAGTTAAGTGATTACAGGTTGGAGGATGGAAAGCACATCATTAACCCATGGGTATTCACTGATAGAATGGGTTTGTATAGAATCTTACTGAATCAGACAGCTCCATATTTTGCAAGCTATGGTCTAGAAAACGAACAGAATCTTTTCTGGGGATTGCCGCTGCAGTTTGGATGGCAACATAGTTCGGGTAAGAAAGAGCCATATTTCCCTATATACCAATATATTCCCAAGGTATGAGGAAAATGGGATTCTCCCCATATCTTTCACTGCTGTCTAGTTTTATGTCAACTTGACACAGGCTAGAAGTGGGGTTCTTCTGGGTACCAGCTCTTCGGACTCCTTCATGGTTCAGCTAAGGCACTACAAGAGGCAAAGGAAAATAACTAAGGGCATCTGAGGAAAAACTATCAACTCACAGGCAATTTTTCCTCAGTATGTCTCTTTACTGTTCTCTCTTCCTTCTAGTCTATTCTAATTCTTCTGTCCTGTCTATGATTTCTTAGCCCCAAGTCCCTGTCTCAATCCAATTTTCAATTCCAATTCTCTACTGTGTTATTCTTCTTTTTCATTTTCATATCTCTGCTAATTTCTTGGATGCTTTTCCTTCTGTTTCTGCTTCTGTTAACTATCTTTGTTGTTACCCAACTGCAAAGACTCACAAAATCTTGCAGGTATAGGTAACCAGGAAATATATATAAACAGACAAGGGAAGTTTTTGGCCCTTCCTCCATTAGCATTTTGTCAAATGTTAGCAAGTTTCAATGTTAACAAGCTCTAAAATTTGATGCTTACCAGAGGCACCAGTGGAGGGTTGTCTCCCTCTGGGTTGTGGATGGATGGCTAATTAATTTTCAAGAAGGTAAGACACAAGTACTGAATTTCCTGAATCAAAGTCATCAGTAAACTGAGGTGAAGGTGAGGTGAGGAGTTGGGAATATTTTAAAGCAAGGTTAGTTTTAGGTCATCAATTTTCTTATCCATAAGTGAAGGAAATATGAAAGTATGCTTACTTTATCTATGCGAACAGCTATGAATTAAAGTCTTTAGCATGTAGTAATTCTCTGTCCTTGGATATCTGGGTATGTCTTAAATGGAAGAATGCTTTTGTCTGGACTCTAAATGCTGACCAAATGCAAGTCAATAAAGATAATTGCAGGAAGGCAGATTTCTATGTTTACAAAAGAGAGAAGAGCAAAGGCCTGGTTGTGGGAAACTGTTTTCACTCATAGCCAGGGGAATATAATCAATAAACGATCAAACAGTGCTGAGCTGTGGGAATTAATTCCCAAAAGTGTAACAGAAAGGGAATAGCTACAGTGAGAAATCTCACAACAAGATACAGCAACTATATTCACAAGGCATTCCAATATGCTTTACATATTGGTTTGAACATCCAGCTAAGCCCTTGGCCCTGATGAGTCTCCTCATGGAAAGATGGCCGAGTAACTACTGTATAGTGTTGTTGTTTGTAGCAGACTAAAGATATTTGAGAGGAGGGAATGTCAGTTGAGAAAATGCTTCCATAAGATCAACCCGTGGGCAAACCTTTGGCTCCTTTTCTTGTTTAGTGATTGATGTGAGAGGGACCAGTTCATTATGGGTGGTGCCATCCCTGGGCTGATGTTCTAGATTCTATAAGAAAGCAGGTGAGCAAGCCATAAGGAGTAACCCAGTAAGCAGTCTGCCCCATGGTCTTTGCATCAACCTCTGCCTCCAGATTCCAGCCCAATCTGACCTCCTACCTTAGCTTCCATCAATGGACTGTGATTGAGTATAAGTAAAGCAAATCCTTTTCTCTTAAGTTGCCATAGATCATAGTATTTCAAAGCCAAATTAGTAACCCTAGCTAATTGGAACCACACATCTCTTTGAAAACTGATTCTTTTTGTTTACTTTTAAATCTCCTCATAATCATAGTTTCTTCTATTACCATTTGTCCTTATCCACAAATCCTTCCTCTGTGACTTGGTTGTTCCTACCAGACATTTCAATGACACAAAGGCATAGAGACCAACCAAAAGGACACATCTTTCCTCTAGTTTGTTGAGTATTTTCAAAATAGATACTACCGCACTGCTAACTACATATCTCTTCCTGTTCCTATGAACACACAAGGGGATATTCATTACAAACAAGAGAGGTGTAAGATTTTATTGATCTTCTTGAGAATCCTAATTCCAATGCCTGATCATAAGCATGAAATTATAAATGTGCGGCTCCCTGAAAATGGTGAGCTGAGCCAATGGTTGCTCTTTCTTGGAAACAAAGCTCTTTTCAGTGTATATACATGGAAGATATTTAAGAATAATACATTCAATCATAAAACGATAGTTCTTTCTGGCTGACAGAAGTACATGAAGAGATTTGTGCCTGAAGCCCAACCTACACTGCTTACTCATTGCTCAGCAAATGAGAAAATGGAAGGGGAAAGAAGAAAGGAGATGAGGAATGGTAACAGCTTTGGAGAAAAAGAAAAATTATTTTCTGATGTTCTGATGTTTATGTAATGGATAGTCAACATGTAAAATACTTCTGATAACTTCTCTTATGTAGAAATCTCATGAATACCGAATATTATTATTTCCACGTTGCTGTATGATACAAACTGATGCATACATGGTCATGTAATTTAGAAAGTGTAGACCAAAGGTTTGGTTTAACTTTTAACTCACCTCCTTTTCTGTGAGTGACTATTATTGCTTTCGTGATTTTTATTTGGAGCTAGAGAAGGCAGTAAAATATGAAGCTATGTAAGTAAAACTACACACATACACACACACACAGCTTATAAATTAAAGTCAAAAGATTATTATGGCTGAAAACAAAATAACTTGATTGAGAGATGAGAAATATAATATAAAAATGATGATAAATAAAATTTAAGTAAAATGGAAAATTTTGTATCTATTAATTAAATGCATATACTTAACCATTTTAAATGTGTATAATAAACAAATACAACTGTGCATTCTCTGTTCTATAGGTAGACTAGCTGATCCCACTGGCAAGACAGACTGTGGCTATGATCCTGGAAACCCTCTGTGTGTGTCTGTTGACAGTTGGTGGGCTGGTAAGTTCACTTCAATAGCAAAATTTTACATTTAAACCCTAATCATATAGATAGAGACAAAACTGAAACAGTTTTGCTTCTTTTTCAAAATGAACCTACTTCATCATATACCAGTGGTCTTGATGACACGTGGCAGAATTGACCAGCCAAATAATAACTTTTAAGGACATATTAAGACTTTTACAGGAGGATTAAATAAAGGAACTGCAAAAGTCATGACCTCTAGGAATCAGCACTGTCAGTAACATGACAGGCTCTTAGAGGAACATGGAGTCTTTGAAAAGAGAGACCAAGATAGTATTGCTTTTCCATTTTTCTCAGAAAAAAAGTACTAAATACTGAAACTCACAAACTTGTTAGAGTAAGAATATACTTTGTTTGGCCAATCTACAGCTTTGCCATCGTCATGTATGCAATACTAAAAACAACTTGAATGCATTTTCTAATTCTTTCACGGTGTATTTTGCTTTGAAATTAATTTACATAAAATTTTACTTGAATACTTTCCAATGATTAGAAATGACATTACCTTAAATATTACTTTTTTGGAATGATGCATAAAGACTATGAACCACTGCGTATTTCCTTCATGCTAACTTGAGTCATTCTTTTCAAAACTCATAAGTAGACTTGTCAAGAGCTCTAGATGTCTGATTGGTTTAGTAATGTGGAGTATTAAGAATGAGTACAAGCTAGTTACCTAACTAAATTAAAGTGTTGAAATCTGCTGGGCTTTCTCCTCTGTAACTGCAACCTTTGCATCTCTGAGAAACTCATCAGGCTGTGAGATACATTTCCTGCTTTAGAAAATCCAGGATAAAAGGACTCAGTGAAAAGGATATGTAAAATTTGAACTAAGCTGTGAATCATCAAATACATATTTTCTGAATCTATAATAATGCTTGATTATTTTATAAAACATTAAAATCAACAATGTAATCTCATTCAGAACTTATGTACTATTCTGTGATCAATTTGGCAGTTTTTTTCTCTCATTTATTTAATGATGCTAAATAGGATTGTTATCCGATCCATTAGAATTACTTTTCTTAAAAATATTGTAATACGACACTTTAGTGGATGCACAAACACAATTATAAAACTATTATAATGTAAGTAGATTTTCCTCACTATTTTTCGTTGATAATTTTTATCATCATTTGGAGGCTGTGACTGCTTCCTTAATGAATTTGCTTCCTCAAAATGTGCTCTGGAATTTGTTCCTGACTGTGGTGTGGGGCTAACCAGCCTTTTGTTTTCACAGATGCAAATTATTTTTTGAGTGTGATACCTTTCCTTGCTGCTGTTGATTCTGGTGTACTGGGGATAACGTCAGACCAATTTACCATTTTACCACCACCCCAGGATCAGTCGAAGTTTTGTTACAGTGTTTCTGACTGCAAAGAGCTCGTTGGGGAAACAATGGACGCATGGAACACCTTTTTTGAGGTTCTTCTTTTAAGTTTTATACCACACTCCTCAGACAGGCAGAGACAATGCTTTTTGTGAAAGTCTTTTGTGAAAGATTGCTTTTATGAGCTGTATACTTTCCTGAATATATTAAATATAATTGCAAATAGATATTTTACTCATAAGTTATGTAGAAATACAGTGCATGCCTCAGAAACCCAGTGTTCTCACACAGTATTAGCACAAAATTCATCTATTCTCACTGAATATAAAGACATACCACAAATGGCTAGCATGCAGGAAGTTTTAAGAGAGTAAGTATATAGGCATGTGAGTAATTGGGAGTTTAGGTCATTTGTGAAACAGTTTAAGAAGCAGGATTATAAGGTTGTTTTAGACTACTCTATCAATTATTGACTGAATTAATAACTTCATATGTAGGTAGAACTAAACAGCAATATGTTGTTCTGAATTTGCCATTTGAATACCAAAGTAAAATACAGAGGTCAAGCATAGAAGAGTTGCTTCTAATTCACTGATTGTTAGTGATTTAAATATATATTTAAGAATAAATGTATATTCTTTAGACGGTTAATTCATTGCTTTAGATACGATTCAATTTAATTTTCAAACTTTTTCTCCTCACTTTGAAAATTTTATGAGACTTTTAATAATGTTGACAAAAAATGACAATGTTCTACCAAGTATAAAACATTGACGTTTTGCAGATATTTGAAGTTCACTTCAACTAGATGACATGCTTTACTGAAAAGCAATAGATATTGTCTCCTTTGCTGTTCAGCACTAAGGAGTGGCATTTAGTAACAGTATTGTCAGATCAGGCTGACTATTGCTCTTATCTCAGTACCTAGTAGACTCTGAGAAAGCGTAGCCCACATAACACTTCATCTTCTATGCTTTAGTACATGAAGTTGCCTTCTACCAACTTTGATGGTCTTTTGAAGAACTTATGGGCTGCTCATACCTCCTCCTTGGGGTATCCTCTCAGTGCCTTTGAAGACAGGTAAGAAATGTTTTGGGTTTTTTTTGTCTCTGTTTTGGTTTGATTCTTTTTTCCCCTTTGCTTTGATTAAAAACCATGACCAAAAGCAACTTGGAAAGGAAATGTTTTGTTCCAGCTTACAAGTTATAGTTAGTTCATCATCAAGATAGTCAGGAAAGGAGCTTCAGCAAGAATATGGAGGCAGGAACCAGGGGAGAAACCGGGGAAGAATACGGTTTCATCCAGCTAAATTTCTTATAAAGCTCAAGGCTACCTGCTTAGGGATGCTACTGCCTATAGTGGGTTGGGTCTGCTTGCATTGATTAACAATCATAAAAATGCTTCACAGCCACAGGCCAATCTGATGGACACAATTCATGAACTGAAATTCCCTCTTCCCAGGCATGTCCAGGTTTGTGTCAAGTTAAATAAAAATTACCAGTGTGGTCTTATTCATTTTTTTTCATTTTCTTTTAGAATATTCATGATTATTAAAAAATATAAACAAAACTAATGTGATCACTGGTGATTATGGTGGTAAAGGGCAAATTTAGAATATATTTAAGGAAGTGGAGAAAACTTGTAGCATAAATTCTTGTTGGTGTTAATAATAAAAGCCTAGCGTCAGATATAGGGGTTAATGCTAAAGATCAGAGAAGCAGAGAGGCCCTCCACTAGGGAGTTATTTTTCCCCTACCAATACTCAGACCAAAAGAGAGATTCTGTCCTCAGACTGGATTCACCAAAACATTATATTTCTTTACCTTTCTTGGTGTGCTTTGCCTGCAAGGGCTCATGTTCTGATCAACTGAGGATGGGTGTAGAGTAGGCGAAAATGTTTGAGACACTTTACAAATGCATATCCTTTATTACTTTATCCTCATTGTCTGAGGATTCAGGCAAGTACAGAAACATGGGAAGAAATTTCAAAATCTTGGTCATTTTCCCCAAATTTTTAGTTTTTGGAGAGTTCATGATCAGTTGAACTCCACTTTGTGCCACTGTTCTTCATTTTGGTTTGTTTTCTCCTGTATTCTCTGTTCTGGTAGCTCTTAGATCTCAGAGGCTCACCACCGTATCTGAATAACTTGGTTGTCTATTAAATTTAAAGACCAGCATTTAGAAAACCAATGTATTTTTGAGGTCTTGTACAGTGAACATGCTCCTGAGGAAATTCTCCATCTTACTGGCTAAACAACTGTTTACTTACTGACAGCCATTGGCCGATACTTTATTCTTCCATTTGAGCTCAGATTTCCTAGAGAAGAGACATTTTTTTCAGTCCCCAGTTTGAAAGTGAAATCAAGACCTAGCTACTGTGAGTCTCAAAGTTAGCTGCTAGTGGGATTTTTTTTTTGTTAGTTTGTTTTTTATTTTTCTATTTTCAAGGACAAAGATACTTGTGTTTCTAAAAAGGAAAGGCTTACCTTAGGAACTGCTATTTTAGAATCAATATTCACATGTTGATTTTATGAACTAAGGTACTGTTGACATGTACCAATGCACACTAATTTGGGTATTTATTCATCTGAATGAACATTGGCAATGGCAAGCTCCTCTCAAGCCACCACCTAAAACAAAATGAATGACATTTTTATCACCCTTTCTAGAACATTCCCTATGTCTCTTATTTTACTCTCCTTAAAAGCTTCCTTTCCTCCCCCCCCAAATATAAATTATATACAAGCTAAATGTCTCAATAGCAGAAATAACTTTTGCCACACCTGTCTTCTAACTCAAGGTGAACAAGCACTAACAAGTACAATATATTTTTTTTCCTTTTTCTGTTTATTTTATTGGTTACAAAAGGGGGGAAGAGATCTCATGTGTCCCAAACTGGAATCTGAGAAAGAACTTGGCCCTGTGATCTTTCTGATTCATATCCCAGGTGTGAAGTGCAAGCATGTGACACCAGGCTTGTTCGTACTTGTAGTTAAATAGACTGACTGTCTTATTTAAACAAGTTCTTAACATGTTTATTACATGATTTTCAAGTACAATGTGCCTAGGAAATGACATAAATGAAAAGTAAAATATTAAGAAGAGGTTACTAATTGGATAACCTTCACAGACTTAGATTGAAATTTTATTTAGCTAGCTACACAATTCCTGAAAGACATAACAAATTCATGGTACTATTGAACTTTCTTTAAAATGAATGTTTAAATTTTATTTCTAGGTACTGGATGGTTTCCACAAAGTAAGATTTAAATTCTGAGGAAACAATAATAATTGATATTTTTGTCTGTTTGTCTTTCAGATATGCCTATTATTCTTATCAAGAATCAAAATTTGAGAAAAACTGGGCTATTGCTGTAGACTACTTAGCTGCGGCCTACTATCCTACAACCCTGATTAGAACGCGTGGCTTTCAGAAGGCCCTGCCACCACGTATTCTTCTTGATACTGACATAGCCCCTTTTATTGCTGACTTCACTACTACTCAGAACACAGTCCTGCTGTCACTCACAGCTCTTGGTGATACTGACCAACTTACAGGTAAAAAAATTTTAAAGAATAATGGAAAAAAATCAGGACTGTATGTATTGGAAGAGTACATAAACTAATTTAAGTAGAAATGCATTCAGCCAGCATACATTAAAAATGTATGAGTTCCTATTTTCTTAGCAGTAATTACTCTTGATAGATGGTAAGGCCATTGAACAATCACACTTCTTTTATTTATTACCTTCATTTGGATGTCACTTTGAACCTTAACATCTATAATATCAAGTGAAATATAAACAGAAAGCTCACATACAATCACTATTTCATCAATGAAAATTTTTTAATATATTTTTCTACTTTACTCTTAAGTCTAAAGAAAACAAATGAATTGCAAAAGAAAAGTTGCCATAATTAATGAGATCACCTGACTCTTGGATGCTTATAATTCAGTACTACTAGTCAAAAAAAAAAAAAAAAAAAAAAGACATTTGCTCCGGAATGGCAAACCATAGTGAAAAACAGGCTTCATTATTAAGTGTTTAAAGATTGCCATGCCATCACATTTTACACTTATGATCTGGGATTTTGAGATTAATTAAACATATTTCTTATTATTTTATTAAGGGAAATTTTTTAAGTCCTTAAATTATAAATGGAATAAATTAGTTGTAAGTAAATTATTTTCAAATTTGTAGAAAACTTTGGCATTAGGCTATCAGATCCATCAACTATGTTAGTGCCCCAATGCAATTGATGCCTCTTCTCACCTCATCCTTGGTTGTAGTATAATACTGTCAGTCAGCATGTAGCTTTCCTTCACACAATGAACAGCAGGCTGATCTTCAGTTGGTGGACACTCTTTGGAAGACTGGCGTTAGAATTATCTCATTTTCTCATAGACATGCAGTATTTTATTTAATGAATTTAGTATGATTATGGAAGTTGTTGAAAGTCATGACTGACAATGCAAGATTCTGCCATGTATACTTTTCTTTATCATTTATGATTCCACCACTTATAAAGCATGACACAAAACTCTCAGGTCGGATATTGCAAAATGATAGTACTATCAGTGAAATTAAATTTTCATCATGAACCGATGACTTTATTGTTAATTGATAGAAAGCAACTAAAATAAATTTGACCAATAATTATTGCCTAATGAAGCTAAGAAATGTTTTCAGGAGTTGACATGTGCTCATTTTATCTCTTCTAGGATCATTCTCTTTGACTGCCTGGAAAATTCTCATGAGTACAAAATTTGCAAGGGAAGAATTTCTAAAAGCTCTTGAAACATTGCTGGGGACATCTACATAAAACATAACATTTTTTTGTGAACAGTGAACAACTATCTTTGGCCACAAGCAATTAAAAATAATGACTTTGATCACAATCATGTAGGTTTATGAGTTAGGTTTTTTTGCTTAATGTTCATTTGTCCAGGATTTCCTCCCATATATTCCTAGAATTAAATTTAAACCGGTTTTGGACAATATCTCTTGAATTTTCAATTCTTCAGTACTTTATCTTATGATATAAAGATTCTGGTCAATGACAACCAAATCACAAAGAATCATTAAAGTGATTTTAAGCATGTCTGACTGCTGTGATGTTACTTTATATTATGTAGATTTTACAAAATGGAGAATAATATATCCTACTGATATTTAACCAAAACCCAAAATATCAAATATCAACATCCAACTTAAATATTTAAATCTTGGAAAACTTAACTCCAAACAGAATGCACTGATTTATCAGGTTTGATTTATGATTTGTTAGCCTTAAGTTTATAATTACTTGTTAGAGTTCCCATCATTGACCAACATTTGTAAAGAATCCTTCAGGGTCAAGTTTCTCATTGTTGTACCCTTTTAAGAGAGAGTTTTACTGGATGGATTTGAAAATTTTCAAAGGGCTTCTCTGCCTCACTGCACCAGACCTTTCCTGAGTCTGCATGTAAACAAGAGCCAATAGTTGATGAACTATGTCACCATGTTTCTCAGAGCAATAGGTCTGCTTCTCAGCATCAGTGTTCTATATTGGTTACAGCAAAGAAAACTGTAACAGAATACATAAGAGAAGCATTATATTCTATATAGTATATAAGATAATCATTATATAGTAAAGAAAGGGATTTATATTGGATCACAGTTTCAGAGGACATAGACCAATATAATGGGGAGGTCATGGCATCTCAAGCCACAGGAATGGGTGTCTGATATCTCTAAAGTGCAGGAAAGAGCAGGAACAAAAGATTACAGGACAGAACTAAGACAAAGTTACAACTAATAAAGGTCTGTCTCTAAACTGAGTGACTGAACTGAGCCATCTGGGCCAAATGACTTTGAAATGATGCCACCAGCTAAAAATCACATGAACAAATCAGATACAGAAGCCTGTGAGAAAAAATTCACATTCAAACTATAACAAAACACAAGAATGGATGTTTAGAAAAACTAGAGATCCTCTTCGATGCATCATCCTCTTGAAGTAGATTGGGGCTTCCAGGAGTAGATGAGTCTCATTTTCATGAAAATTCCTAAGATCTTAAAACATTTTAAATGTTATATTCTGTAAGTCTTTGAAAGTGTTGAATATTATATATCTAGCTACAAATATCTCTATATTTCTATATCTAGAAAACCTAGCTAACATGACAAGTTTGACTTTTATAAATGATTATCAATTAATCTCTATTTCTTAGCTATACATTACAATTTTAAATGAGTTGTACAAACATAATATCTTAATTGAGAGCAGAAATAGACCTATAACAAAATTGATCTAAAATTTGTATCAGTAAACCAAGATCCATACCAATGCAAAGTATTCATCTCTATAGCATATTCCCCTTTAAATGTAAACAAACATTTATAAACATATTCTTAAACAAAAATTTTGAAGTCAAAATACCTTTAAAGTACATATGTCGGTTTAGTTTAGCTGCCCCCAGAATTTTAACTAACTCTTACTTCTTAATTTAACCCATTCCTATTATTTTATATTTTACCATGAGGCTCATGGTTTACCGGTAAGATTTCAATGAGCAGGCATCTTTCTCCTTCAGTGACTAAGTGGCGTTTTTCTGAACCTTACTACTCTCTCTCTCTAGGCCACTAGCTGCCCCCCAAAAACATGGAGACTTAGTATTTTACCAGAATTTTACAGTAAGGAGGCTGGGATAGGTGATCCAACAGCATCTTCCTGTCTTTTTCTTTGTATTGCTACAAGAGCCTAATGTTCAGGAAGTTCTTAGTCTAAAATTACAGTAATTAAATAGTATGTATAATGGGAACCACAGAGAGCCAAATTTATTGCCATTAGACAGAACTAGAATATACTGAATTATTGAAGGAGAGGTCTAATCCAATAAGGGGCAATGACAAGAAACTGAGGCTTGTTATATTTAGGGGGTCTTCTATGTGTATTTGTGAGGAGTTTGGCATGATTATTTGATAACACAACTGTTTTAATGAAAACATTTTTGAGTATAGTGATTACAAATATGACCCACTGTAATTTGCTCAAATTCTTATAGATTTGAAACTCTAACAGTATGGAATTTGGGGTATAACCTATTAATTAGAAATATCCTCTTTAACAGAAGATCATTCACTGGGAAAAAAAGAAACACATTCATGTGTGATAATTTAATGATACCTTTAAAATGCTTACATATCAAGTAAAGACAAATAAAATTTAAAAAAATCACCCCACAAAGGTGGATCATAAAGTAGCATTAAGTATAACAAATTTAACTCAGATATATCATAAAGCAGGTCTCTCTGAGATAATATTCTATTTTTTTGCCCTGCCACATGTTAAGAATAGCTTTCTAAAATAGGCCCTTGTTAAGCCTGCCAAAATTTCTGGTCAGGAGTGATTTTTTCCCCCTTTCATTAAGATAGCTGTGGTCTTAAAATAGGATATATATATATATATATATATATATATATATATATCTCCAAGTAAAGGTTTGGACAAAACTTAAACGTGTTTTTAAGGCTTATAAAATGCAATTTGGAAAAAATTGAAACTTAAAACAGATCTATCCCAATCATTCTGTTTCCCCAAGTTCCCCCCATCCTCCCCTTCTCACTTTCTCTCCCCATCTCCCCTTACCCACCTCCCACTCCACCCCCAAGATCCCAATTTTGTGCCCAGCAATCTTGTCTACTTCCCATAACTAGGAGGATAGCTATATGTTTTTCTTTGGGTTCACCTTCTTATTTAGCTTCTTTAGGATATCATATTAAAGACTCACTGACGTTTATTAATGACTAGAACCCAATTATGGGAGTGAGTACATCCCATGTTCATCTTTTTGGGTCTGGGTTACCTCACTCAGGATAGTGTTTTCTATTTCCATCCATTTGCATGCAAAATTCGAGAAGTCATTGTTTTTTACCACTGAGTAGTACTCTAATGTGTATATATTCCACACTTTCTTCATCTATTCTTCCATGGAAGGACATCTAGGTTGTTTCCAGGTTCTGGCTATTACAAATAATGCTGCTATGAATATAGTTGAACAAATGCCCTTGTCATATGATCGCGCATCTCTTGGGTATATTCCCAAGAGTGGCATTGCTGGGTCCAAGGGTAGGTTGATACTGAATTTCCTGAGAAACCGAAACACTGCTTTCCAAAGTGGTTGCACAAGTTTGCATTCCCACCAGCAATGGATGAGGGTACCCGTTCCTCCACAGCCTCTCCAGCAAAGGTTATCCTTGGTGTTTTTGACTTTAGCCATTCTGACAGTTGTAAGATGATATCTCAAAGTTGTTTTGATTTGCATTTCCCTGATTGCTAAGGAAGTTGAGCATGACCTTAAGTGTCTTTTGGCCATTTGAACTTCCTCTGCTGAGAATTCTCTGTTCAGTTCAGTGCCCCATTTTTTAATTGGGTTAATTAGCATTTTAAAGTCTAGTTTCTTGAGTTCTCTATATATTTTGGAGATCAGACCTTTGTCTGTTGTGGGGTTGGTGAAGATCTTCTCCCAGTCAGTAGGTTGCCTTTGTGTCTTAGTGACTATGTCCTTTGCTTTACAGAAGCTTCTCAGTTTAAGTAGGTCCCACCCACGGAGACAGTAGGGCTGATCTATTGGGAGCTCACCAAGGCCAGCTGGACTGTGACTGAAAAAGCATGGGATAAAACTGGACTCTCTGAACATGGCGAACAATGAGGGCTGCTGAGAAGCCAAGGACAATGGCACAGGGTTTTGGTCCTACTTCATGTTCTGGCTTTGTGGGAGCCTAGCCAGTTTCGATGTTCACCTTCCTAGACAAGGATGGAGGGGGGAGGACTTTGGACTTTCCACAGGGCAGGGAACCCTGACTGCTATTCAGACTGGAGAGGGAGAGGAGTGGGGAGGAGGGGGAGGGAAATGGGAGGCTGGGAGGAGGTGGAAATTTTTTTTTCTTCAATAAAAAAAATAATAATAAAACAGATCGATTGGGGTGAGTTTCTGGCCCACGGCGCCAGCCTGGGACAGGGAGCTCGGGGGTTTCTTGGCCCCCTGCCCTGTTTGGGCTCTCTGCAGGGCCTCTACTCCCCGGGTGCTGCCTCTTTCTTCCTGGCCCACCCAGCTTCCGTCCAGAGCCCTCCCCACTTCGCCCCCACTGCCCTCTTTTGGCGCGTGGCATCGCCCAGCCCAGCCTATCTGGGCGCTGGGTCCGAGTACCCAGGGCTCCCGGGCGGGCAGCCGTTCCTTTGTTTTTGGGGCCTGCCTGCACCAAGCGGGGTAGGTGCTTTGTTTGCGAGCTGCCCAACCAGCACGGAGGCCTGATCTTTCGGCGCCAGGAGACCCAGCATTGGGGTGAGTTTCTGGCCCACGGCGCCAGCCTGGGACAGGGAGCTCGGGGGTTTCTTGGCCCCCTGTCCTTCTTGGGCTCTCTGCAGGGCCTCTACTCCCTGGGTGCTGCCTCTTTCTTCCTGGCCCACCCAGCTTCCGTCCAGAGCCCTCCCCACTTCGGCCCCACTGCCCTCTTTTGGTGCGTGGCATCGCCCAGCCCAGCCTATCTGGGCGCTGGGTCCGAGTACTCGGGGCTCCCGGGCGGGCAGCAGTTCCTTTGTTTCTGTGGCCTGCCTGCACCAAGCGGGGTAGGTGCTTTGTTTGCGAGCTGCCCAACCAGCACGGAGGCCTGATCTCTCGTCGCCAGAGAGCCAACATTGGGGAGAGACAGCATTTGGTAGGCAAGGAGACCTGATCCGGTAAAAGAAGATCCATAGGGAGCATTTGGAAGAAGAGATGGGCCGACATCAAGGCAAGAATTCGCCCAACAAGCTGAAAAGCAACATGAAGCTACCAGAAACAAGCGACCTCACAACGGGAGGACAAGAACCCCTTAATCAAGAGGAAGGAGAAAAGATTGACTTCATGAAAGTGATTGACACCCTTAAACAGCATGTAAAAAACGCCCTTATAGAAATGGATGAGAAATATAACAGAAAGTTTGAAGAATTGAATAAATCAGTGAATGATACCCTAGAAAACCAAGGAAAAACAATCAAACAGATAATGGAAACAGTTCAAGACCTGAAAACTGAAATGGAGGCAAAGAAGAAAACACAAATAGAGGGCCGGCTGGA